TTCCTCCAAGGACTCTGAACATCTCCTTTTAAGTCTGAGGAAACCCTTCACTTTCTTATTTTACCCTGTCTTTGGGTTTTCAGATATGAAACCAGGCAGAGGCGTCTCTGGAGGCAATTTCCTGCTTTCTGTCCTTTCAAAAATCATTCTGGAGACAATGTAACCTAGGCCCTAGTTGTCTTCTTGAAGTGGGTAGGAAAATGGGAGTGGTGGGAGACAAATGAGAAAAACATAAACTCCTAAAAACCATCTTGGCACACAGACAACAAATTGTTTCCCTTGAAGGTAAACAAGACCCCAGTGGCCCCCTCACTGCCCACTCTCTCTCTTCTTCTCTCCCTTGGCACGACACAGGCTGAGCTCCTGGCTGTTTCTCCCACAGGCCAGGTGTGCTTCTACGTCAAGTTTTCACAAATGGGTTCCATGAGCCTAGAATGTTCTTTCCCAAAATGTCCATGGCTAGCTTCCTCATCTCCTTTAGGTCTTTTGCAGAAGTGTTACCTTCTTACCAGATTCTCTGACCACTTCTACTTAAAATTGTGCCCCTACTCACCCCAACCACCCCCCACCACAGAACTCTTGTTCTCTCTTCCTACTTTATTTTTCATAGCACCTTTTGTTCTGTAACATACTAATAATGTGTCTCCCTTTATCTGACTTATAGAATATATACTCAAGGAGCTCAGGGAGTACAGTAGGTGCTCAATAAATATTCATTGAATAAATTAATGAATGGACAGATTGAAGAGATGTGCTACCCTCTTAGAGAAAATGTTTCAGTAAAAATTTATCTAGTAATATTTGAGACTACTGTGACCTCACTCTGTACTGCTGTAACCCTGGCCTCAGCCATCACTGACTCCAGTAATACAGCAGGAAATGGAATGCACATAACTCACAGTTCCATGAGTTCCTCCCACGGAAGGATTTGGGCACCTATGGCCCCAATACGCCTCCAGAAGAAAACTTTTCCAGTGTCTTTGATTACAGTAAGTACCACATAAAACTACCAAACCTGTAGTTTCACTTTATTTTATTTTTCAAACCTGTAGTTTTAAACTGTTGTCAGATAGCAAAGAAGTCTTCACAAGGAGTTAAAATCTAAACACAAAATATTTATGAAGTTCCTATCCAGGATTCCTGTATGAAGTTCAAGCATCCTCAGATACTTGCTCTCTTATGTCCTTCCTTACCCTCTGCTGCTCTCCCTCCTGGGCTTCTCCTTATATAAAAATGAAGAAACAGGATAAGAAGGGTGTGTGTTCCTCATTTTTATAAGCAAGAACACTTTTTTGTTTCCTGAGACTGCAAACTCACTATTAAAGCACATCCCATCTTAAAAAATACAGAAAGAGAGTTAGTAAAGAAGGAGTGAGAGAGGCAGGGATGAGTGGGAAAGCACATGCCAGTGGTAAATGGGCTCTCTGATGTCCGGAAGAGCTAGAGCAGTCCACATTCCATCCCACAGTCGTGGTGTATGAACTGGAATAGCACTTGAAGTTTTATCTCATTCACCCCTCACACTGGAAGTAAAGCAAAGCAAGCATTCATATTGTCTGTTTTTTAAAAAAAATCAAGCGGGACTCAGTGATTCAGTTACTTGTCAGTGACACACAGGGTAGTAAGAATAGATTTTCAGACACCTGCCTGGGGCTCTACTAGCTACATGTGGTTGCCTCTCACCTGTCCCCATGAGGGATCTGGAATGTGTCTCTTATATATTTCTGTAGCTTTCCTTGCTTCTTTTCAAATTACCCTGCAAGGCTGCTCTGGTGCTCTACGGCAAAGAAGATGTAGGGGGTGAGAATCTACTTTTGTAGGAGTTGTAGAAACCACCTCAGCTCTCATCCTTTACTTCATTAATTTCTCAAACATTTATCAGCATTTTCCAAGTGTAAGGTACTACGCTAGGCACTAAGAATCTGTAGATGTAGCCCCTGCACTAAGCTTCTAAGTCTAGTGGAGTGATGAGAGGTCGATAGAAATTGGGTATGAAATCCACTCAAACCTGGTTTGCTAGAGTGATGAGAGGTCGATAGAAATTGGGTATGAAATCCACTCAAACCTGGTTTGCTAGAGTGTTCTATAAATGTTTACTTTTATAAACATTTGGCTTTGTTTCAAAGACTATCTATTTCTCAAATACTGTCTCTGTGCCTCTGGTAGCTCCTTCATCCCTTCATCTCCTGAACTGCTATGGTCCATGATATCATGAGGCACCAGTAAATATAGGAGTTCTGACAAAATGCTGTAGTATCTCTCAAGGTGAACTTTTAGAGTCAAAGAAGAGATGGGAATTTTTTAAAATTTAAACAGAAAAGGTTGGGATGTGCTTTAATAATGAGTTCACCATCAAAGAAGGAAACTAACTGCAAGAACAGAAAACTCCTCAGTGTTCAGAAAAGTAACAATTGAGTGGATTTGTCCATCTGACTCTCTGGAAGGACTATAATACCATGTATCTAGAAGCCCAGTTTTCATACAAGCAAATGCAAGTATATTGATAATACTGTGTTGCTGTCGTTGTTGTTACCTTTTTCAGAAAATTGGCAGAATTAATCCTTTGTGCTACAATAGAATTTACATCTGAAATGGATACCTCCTTCTCTTTCTGACTTTCATACTCCTAAAAACAGAATTGTTAGTTCCACTTCTTGAATGTAACAAAAAGTTCATACATGACATATTGCAATAAATATCACTAGTCACTTCAGTTCATGTGTAGGACATTGGAAACATTCTGGCGCTTCACTCAGCGCAGCTGGATGCTTCATCTAAATAAAGTAAATTTGCATTTGTTATTTATGCATTTTCCTGTATTATATATCCCCAATGTATGTGGAAACGATTTTATATTATAGATATTATTAAAGACTATACAAAAATAATGAAGTAAATACTTTAGACTCTTCAGCCATGAAAGAACGCATGCTGCATTATCTGAAAGTATGTTACTTGTCTTTCTAATTATCCATTAAAAATCCTGAAAGTAATTCTTTTGCAAGTAACAACTTTTATTTAAGAAAATATCATATTACTATTTCATATCACTTTATTTACTTTTAAATTATTAATTTTTAGGAGTTAACATAATACTCTGGATATTAATATTTTAATGTTACACGTGTTGGGAATAACTTTTCTAATCTGTAGGTTTTTAATTTTAATGTTACAAAATTTATTAATCTGGCCAGGCACTGTGGCACATGCCTGTAATCCTAACACTTTGGGAGGCCGAGGGGGATGGATCACTTAAAGTCAGGAGTTCAAGACCAGTCTGGTCAACATGCCAAAACCCCGTCTCTACTAAAAATACAAAAATTAGCCAGGTGTGGTGGTGCACACCTGTAGTTCCAGCTACTAGGGAAACTAAGACATGAGAATCACTTGAACCCAGGAGGTGGAAGTTGCAGTAAGCCTAGATCATGCCATTGCACTCCAGCCTGTGCAACAAAGTGAGACTCCATCTCAAAAAAAATCAAACAAAAAAACTAATTAATCTTTTTCTTTATAATTTATACTTTTTTGTTTCTTATTTAAGAAATACCTTTGTATCCCAAAATTGAAATGCCCATTTGAAATTCTGCTTTTTACAAGTAATCTTCACGACACACGGTATTTATTTCTTTTATGATGTCTGAATCTAATTTTATTTCTTTCCACATGTATGAATAATGATTCCAAAACCACTTAATGCATCCTTCATTCTTTTCCAACTGATTTGTAATGGCAATGCTATCAAATATAAAGTTTCCACATATACATAATAAGTCTATTCCATTTCATTGGTTGGGAATTGCATTTCTATATTTACCACTTAATATAGGTAGAATTGGCAGTTTACAATATTGACTCTTTGTATCAATGAACATTGACTCAGATTCTTTTGTCTATCATTCAAAAATATTTCAAAATGTTATTTGTTGAGTTTTGTACAATTTTGTTAAACATATTGCTATGTATCTTACAGTCTTTAATGCTCTTACAAGTGATATATTTGTTAAACTACATTTTAAGTGGGATTTTACTGGTATATTAGGTGCTATTTATTTTTGTTTAAATTTTTTTTCAAACTTTCAAACATATAGAAAAGTAGAAATACATATGCACACACACACATGTGTATGTGGGTGTGTGTGTAATTTTTTTTTTTTTTAAGACAGGATCTTACTCTGTCGTATAGGCTGGAGTGCAGTGGCGCAATCTCAGCCTACTGCAGCCTTGACCTCAAGTGATCTTCCCACATCAGCTCCAAGTAGCGGCACTACAGGTGTGCTCCACCATGCCCAGCTAATTTTGTTTATTTTTTGTAGTGATGAGGTCTCACTATTTTGCCCAGGCTGGTCTCAAACTCCTGGACTCAAACTATCCTTCTGCCTTGGCCTCCCAGAGAAATATTGAAATCCATATCTCTACCCTGTAGATTAAATAATTAATATTTTATCATATTTTTATCTGTTTTATTTTATTTTTAGTTAACATATTACCAAGTAAATTACAGCCATCATGACACTTTAAGCATCTCTAGAGAAATACATCAGCATGAATCTCCAAGGACTAAGGACATGCTTCTATGCAACCACAATGCTGTAAGCACTGCCAGTAATTCTCCAGTATTACTTAATATTTGATCCATATTCAAATTTTACCAAGTAGCAACTTAAAGCAACTGATATAAAAAGCTAGGCTTATTTGATAGTATGGTAGAGCTGGCTGGCACCAGCTGGTGAGAACCTATTGTGCATTCCAGCTTTTGTTTTCTTTTAAAAATATTTTACAGATTCTAACATTGAAATGTGCCTTATAATTAATGTTTAAGTTTACTGTGGTAATGTCTCTCCCCTTTACTCCCAAAGCTGTGATAACAAAAATATAATAGTAACATAAATTTAGAATATGCCTGAAGGATTTGGGCTATTGAATACTGAATAGACTGTTTGGCCAAAACTAAATTGCAAAGAAGCTGAAGAATTTCTGGAATTTGGGAGATATGTACATTTTTAATCCCTAAAGAGAAGGGAGGAAATCTGTCTATAGATTATTAGCTTTAAAAAAAAAGAAATAAGGTTAAAGCAGCAAAATGTTAACTTTATCATACAATAAGCCATATTCAAATAGAAGCCAAATACCTGGAAGACTAAATCTGGAATCTCTATATCATGGAGGGGCATTTGCTGTAGAAGGAAATTATCTAATTGACCTGCATTTCTAAGTTGCAATAGCTGGAAACGTTTACTCTTTTCCATTTCCTCTTCAGAAACAAAGTTAAATTCATCCTGCAACTGTTCAAGACGGAAATACTTTGGAATATCCTGCCCCTTAAGGCTCATGTACTGTAAAACATAAAAATGCAACGTCTTTACTTAAAATATTATTATTTTTTAAATTTAGGAATTACTTCAAAAGACTTTTTTCCCCTCAACTGTGAGATCTAAGAGTAGCAATATAAATAGGAAATGGAGCAATTGAATTTGTAGGCTAGAACATAGAAAAACAAAACAAAATAAAACAAATCCAGAATCTAGTCTCTGTGGCTTCCCAACCTTTTCCCAGTCATGACTTACAAAGAAAATGAAAATATTTGTATTGTACACTGAAATTTGTATTGTACACTGATAGGACAGATGTGACTGTTTCTATATGGTAATCCTGAGTTGAGGGAGGATCAATATTTCTGTATACCTATAACCAATTCTGCACCTCAGCTGAGCAGCTCTAATCTAGGGAGCTTACTTCCAATAATCTAATTTATGGGTTGCTTTATTCAACAAATGCAAAGGCAAGTGCATTGTACATGCAAGGAACAATGCTAGCTGCCATCAGAGAGACACAGATTTATTAGCTGTAGCTCCACAACGAAAAATAAAATATATGAATGAATAAGTACAGTAGGCCAGGCGAGGTGGCTCACGCCTATAACCCCAGCACTTGTGGAAGCTGAGACAGGCAGATCACCTGAGGTCAGGAGTTTAAGACCAGTCTGGCCAACATGGTGAAACCCTGTCTCTACTAAAAATACAGAAATTAGCCAGGCACAGTGGTGCATGCCTGTAATCCTAGTGAGCTGGGAGGCTGAGGCAAGAGAATCACTTGAACCTGGGAGGTAGAGGTTGTGGTTAGCTAAGATCGTGCCACTGCACTCCAGCCTGGGAGACAGAACAAGACTCTATCTCAAAAATAAAATAAAATAAAAGAACTATAATAAAAGCCAGAATGAGATTAGAGTCATAAGAGTTGTTTGTTTTTTGTTTTTTGTTTTTTTTTTAATAGAATAAGAAAGGTTAACAGGAAAGCAAGGAAAGAAGATGCAGTACCTAACTGAGGTTACCAGGGAAGCATTTATCAGACTTGCAGGGTTAGTAAAATAACCACTGTGGATGCCCTTCAAGGCAGAGCAGTGGCATGAATAACAGTATAAAGAAAGCACGTTTGTGGTATACAGAGAAGTTCAGTGGCTATAAAAAAGAGTAGAAGTGACTATATAATGGAGTCTGAGAGAAGGAGCGTGTCTACAAATCATCTCGATAACTTCAGTGTCTAATACTATGGCTGGCACATGATAACTGCACAATAGATGTTAGCATGAAAGACTGTTGGATGTGCTGTGGCTGCTAAGTGGTGGCAGAAGACCATCTATCAGGCCTAAAGGAGGAATTATTTCCATTGCTGAGTTTCTAATTGCCTTTACAGTGTTGTACACTGGTTGAAAATGGTCTCTGTCCTCAGATTTACTTTTACATGACCCCTAGAGCCTAGAAAAATACATAACAAACTATGGGGGAAGGAAGGGGTAGAGCTTAGGAAATAGAATATGTTCACAGTATTGATATTTGCTTTAACTCACCATAACAAATTCCATTAAATCAGAATATTCTGGATTATTTGGATCAATTCTGACTTCATTTGCCCATTCAAAAAGCTTCTGTTCATTAATGAGCCATGGAATTCCAGGGACACCTCTTGTATCTACATTCCTTAACATACTAACATAGAGAAAATATTCTGTGAACTTGCATACAATATCCAATATATGTATTATATACTGTACACTGTTATATAGGGCAAAATCATACCCATTCTGGGTATTTGAAGATAAAATTTATCCATCCTCTGTATTTATGGATAGAACAGAAAGTTGAGATGTGATATCTTTCCTAGTTCTCATTCTAACTTGTATCATAGCTTTTTGATTAATGTTGATGAGATAGTAACTTTATTAACAATAGTCTGTAAATATTCATCTTTGCCATCTATACACCATGTAGTAGCCAAAATATAGTAGATGCTTAAGTGAATGGTGCTTATTGGATATATTATGTAAACCCTAAGCATATTAATTTATTAAATACTTTCTTTTCACAGGATGCATAATATTGAAATTTAATCAAAATATTCACTTAAGCAAAGTTAAGAAAGCACACAAAATAAAAACCACCTTTAGGCTACATCCTTACAGTTGAAACAAGAAGTGATGCAATTAACTGGGTAAGTATGGGCCAGAGGACTGTCCTTGGTCATATGAGATCATCTTAAAAGTTGGAGAGCTATAAAAGATAGGCTAGACTCATAAGATATCCTTAGCGGCCTTAGCTGTAGACTAAGTGGAAAAGGAATGCAACCCTAATGAGTAAGGATTTCTTTAAAACCATCAGTTATCCCAACTATTTAATCTCCATCTTCATGGAGAATTTTACCATGTGTAATTAGAGGAAACTGACTAGAAGATTTCTACCATCCTTTCTTTAAAATAGTCCAGAAAGGTTCCTGTCTATAAATTGGGATTCCAGAAATACAGTTCTGACACAGATTCAGCAATGTCTTTGCCCAAACATGGGCACACATTTTACATTGTCTGCTTCCCATCTGTTCATATTTCTATGATGAATTTTCTGAGGCTATTGCTACAGAAGCCAATGTGGTATGGTAAGATGTAAGCAAAATTACAAATAGGTGAAGTTTACATATTCTTCTTTTCTTTTGCTTCCTATGTCTGCCCTCATTTTGAACTATTTTGATATCTGTGTCATAAGGGATTGCTAGGACCTGACACCCTTGACACCATGATGTAATAAATTTTCTTTCTAGAAACAGTCTTAGCCCAGATCCCCTAGAAGACAGCCTCAGGTAAAGCTTAAATCTTAATGAATAGATCAGAGGGAAGCTTATCCCACTATAAGCTTTGTAAGGATATATCCCATTATATCCTTTAACAAAAACAAACAATAAAGAAAGTTGTAATTGGATTTCAACATAGTCCCATGATTTCTGCCTCAGACAAAGTAATAAAAATCTCAGAGCCTTGCTACGATGATTCTCCACCACTCCCCCATAGATGTTTAGCTCCTATAGATGCTCCTATAGATGTTTAGCTGTGGGCTATGGCTCACAGCAGCACTGTTCCTTGGGTCAAAACCAGTCAAATGATTGAAGATTTCCCCACCCTCCCTCCCTCTCTCCCTCTTCCTTTCAATTGAATATTACTACTTTGTAGATCGAGAGCTAGAAGCTATACTTTATAAAAGGCATGGGAAACTCTTTCTGATTGTTGTCTGTCTAAAACAGTCCTGACATTTACATCTTATTTCAGACAGAAGAATCGAAGTATAGCATGGCCCCAAGAAAGAGGTGAGCTTTAATACTAGTAGACCCCAAGACACATGGCTTATATACCCAAATGCTAGGCCACAGCCACCGTGTTTTTCAACTGAGATAAAATATACATAACATTCACCACTTTATTTTAAAATACACAGTTTTAAAATAAAGCATCAAGTACACTCACAATGTTGTGCAACCATCACCACCTTCTATTTCCAGATTGTAGTGATGGTTGTACAACTCTATGAATATATTAAAGCCATTGCATTGCATATTTTAATTGGTTGAATTTTATGGTTTTTGAATTGTATCTCAATAAAGATGTTAAATAACAGTTAAAAATATAATTGTGCTCAAGCTAAGATAAACATTCCTGTGAACCAGAAATGGAAAAGAATGGGCAGAGTGGTGAGTGGGGACAGTGCTGGGCTTCAGGCCTAGGAGCAGTCTGTGGTGGTTGTGGGCTCAGTTCCTGAGTCAGAGAATTAGCACCAGGCTTATTATTTTAAGCCAAAGATTTGGGTGGGATTTTACTTAAATGAAGGGACCATTAAAAAAATCCTGACCACTGCATGGGGCTGTGGCTTTTAGAAAGCTAAGTCTAGAGAGGAAAAAGGACGTAGACACTGCCTCCTAATGAGGAACTGAACCAGGCTCACAGTTCGCCAGACGCCTGGATCCGTGATGATTCCAGTAGTGCCCCAGTTTAACAACCCAACCACCCAACCTACCCAGTAATTAGGCTTACGGCCTACTTTTGGATTTAGGAGGACAGATGAAGTCAAATTCAGAACCATTAGGTAAGAAGGGGCAGATGCAGAAGGAGAGAGAGGAAAAACAAAAACAAAAACAAAAACCCAGAAACCTCCAAATCAAAATCACCTGAAAGTTCTCCAACTCAAAATGATTCTGATAACCAAAACTTCTGAGCAAAGAAGCCATGCTCAGAAAAATAACTAACAGTAACGACAGCAGAATATAAATTAATTCTAGCTGAATTAACTTTATGAAAGTCTGCCAAACACATTTTAATGAAGTATGCTTAAGATGTTAAAACAAATGAAAACTAACAATTCAGTTTTAAGGGCAAGAAATAATGCAAAAAAAAAAAAATGCCAAAAGGAAATAAAAAAATATAAAGAGAATCAAACAGAAAACTTAGTAGCAGAAAATACAAGTAAAAATTATAACATTAAAATAAAATAAACCTTATACTAGACAAAGTTGAATAACAAATTAAGGAACTAAAAAGTAATACCCAGAAATTCACCCAGGATGCAGATGAAATAAAAACATAAAAATATGAAATAATAGGTAAGAGATGTGGCTAAGAGGCTGAGGCTTGGCTGGACTCAGTGGCTGAGGCCTGTAATCCTAGCACATTGTGAGGCCAAGGTGAGAGGATCTCTCAAGCCCAGGAGTTTATCAGCTTGGGCAACAGAGCAAGACCTCCTCCTCTCTTAAAGAGAAAACAAAGAAAGCAAGAAAAAAATTAGCTGAACGTAGTGGCACCTGCCTATAGTCTCTGCTACTCAGGAGGCTGATGCAGGAGGATTGTTGAACCCAGGAGTTTGAGGCTGATACACCACTGTATTCCAGCTTGAGTGACAGAGCGAGACCCTGTCTCGAAAATAAATAAATGAATAATAGAGTGAGAGGCTCCAATACAAATTCAATAAGAAGTCCTGAAGGATACAAAAGTTAGCTTGGTGTGGTGGCAGGCGTCTGTAATCCCAGCTACTCGGGAGGCTGAGGCAAAAGAATTGCTTGAGCCTGGGAGGTGGAGGTTGCAGTGAGTGGAGATTACACTATTGCACTCCAGCCTGGGTGACTAAAGAAAAACTCCATCTCAAAAAAAAAAAAACAAGTCCAGAGGGAGAGAAGAGTGGGAATGGTAAAGAAGTAATATTTGAATAAATAGTGATTGAGAAGTTTCTGTCATTGTTGAAAGATGTGAGCCTGTAAACAAAATTTATTCTGCTAAGCAGGAAAAAGAATAATGATAAATCCACACATGTATAGTAAAATTTCAATACTTTAAGGATAAAGCAAAATATTTTTCATGGCTCAAATGGCAATTTCTTCCTTTTTTATAAAGGTAAAAGACACATTATATAAAATTTACCACCATTTTAAAGTGTAAATTCAGTAGTATTAAGTATATTCACGGTACTGTGCAACCATCATCACTACCTATTTCCAGAATTTTTTTCTTCATCCCAAACTGAAACTCTGTACACATTAAACAATAACTCCCCATTTCTCCCTTCACCATCCCTAGTAACCTTTATTCTACTTTCTGTCTCTGAATTAAGTGAAAAATTTCAACATTATCAGAGGGAAAATATACCCTATAAAAGCCCAACATTTAGACCAACAGGGGACTTAAAAACAGCAATGATAAATCCCAGAAAATAATGCAGTTCTCCAACAGCTTCAAAGTGCTGAGAAAAAATATATAACATCCTCAACTTTTCTACTCACCTAAACTATTACTTAAGAATGAGGACAAAATAAAGACACTTTTAGATCTAGAAAGGTTAAAGAAATGTGCTACCCATAGAAACTAACTGAAAGAATCATTAAAGGAGCATGCTTTCAGCATAAAAAGTAAATCGAGAATGAAGGATGAGAAATAAGAAATAGAGGTAAACATAAAAGTCAATTAACTATGTTAAAAATTTCATTAACTAGTGAGTATAAGAAAAACTGTTTTATGTTTAAAAATGAAAACTCTGGACAATGATCATTGAGATTGGAGAGGTGTGGGTTTTTTTGTTTTTGTTTTGTTTTGTTTTTTGTTTATTGAGACAGAGTCTCGCTCTGTCACCCAGGCTGGAGTGCAATGGCACAATCTTGGCTCACTGCAACCACTGCTTCCCAAGTTCAAGTGATTCTCTTGCCTTAGCCTCCCAGGTAGCTGGGACAACAGGCACATGCTACTATGCCCAGCTAATTTTTGTATTTTTAGTAGAGATGGGTTTTCATCATGTTGGCCAGGCTGGTCTTGAATTCCTGACCTCAGGTGATCCATCGCCTCATCCTCCAGAAGTGCTGGGATTATAGGTGTGAGCCACCACACCCAGCTGAGATGTGTTTAATGTGGTATTACAGCATTAAAGCTTGCTGAGACTCTCTTTTCGTTCACTGCTTTATCTTCAGTTCATTCAGTAGTTGATGAATGAGTAAGTAAATGAGTGAATAACAAAACTGTCTTTCAGCTCTCCTTTGGCTTCATTCTCTGACTCCCACAAGTCAGTCCTGTCTTCTGGAGCACCCATCCCAATTCCTAGAACTACTGCTCAGAGGCAGTCCTTGAGCTGCCACAAAAGAACTGTCGGAAAGTTCTGTAACTTCCACTAATTGTGAAGTTGGACTTAGAGAGGGCCCTGGACTTTGGAAATCTCTCTTGCAACTTACTTCTTGCTGAAACCTGTCATTTGTCACACTTTTGCATAGTACTGCTTTCTATCTTTGGTAAGCTTGGGTTTCCAAGTAATAAGAATTGTAAGACCATGAGGACAGGCCAAGGAATATGGCTTGAAGGCTTGCTGGTAACCTTAGGTAGCAAGTGGGTAGGGTTAGGAAGGGACTGTGTGAACAGAAAGTGGAGGGAATGTATGCAGGCCAGTAGGCCACACATAGGAAAAACTAGCCAAAATAGGTTTCAGGATTTAATCGGGTGCTTGAGTTTTTGCTTATTTGTTTTAATGCAAAGAAGGCTTTTAGGTACAAAAGACTAATGGCCTAGGGAGATGGACAAATGGAAGAAAATGGAAGAAAAAGATATAAATGCATCAGTAGAATTGTAAAAGACAAAAAGTTCCAAACGACCTTAGCCTCAGAATGAGGAAGACAAACATCTCACTCCAAGAAAAATGCAAAGAATATTATGATGAGGCAAAGATTAGGAATAGCTGCTGTGGAGACCATGCTAGAGAAATATTAAGAAATATAACAAAATAGTAGTTCTGGGGATTAAAAACTGTTTCACTGGCTCCAAAATGAATTACCTTTAATAACTGTAAGATCTGCTCTTAAAATGCCCTTCTCCAGGTCTCTAAGAAGATGACCTCATTTACTTAGCAAAACAAGGACATCCATCAAAGTTCCATTTCTGTCTTCATAGTGATGGCCATCTCTTTCCCTGAGTAGAGGAAGAGAAAGTTTCTCTTCTCCAGAACCATAGCTTTTCCCTTGGGTTCTGGTTTGATACCTTCCTGACTCTGAAAGACCTCATACTCTTTCCAATATATTGGGCCTTTTTCCTCCACTGATTTCAATCTTTTGTAAGCTTATCACTTGTAATCACTTCTTTTAAGAAGATAAATATTGCCCCAACTTTCAAGAAATTTGTCCCTTGATTCGTTTGTCTTCTCCTATTTTTTAGTGTCTTTTTTATTGTCAAACTCCTTGGTAAGTAAACTACCCCTACTACTTCAGTTTCCTCCACACCAATGATCTTCTTGTGCTACTGCCATTTATTTTTTTCTCTCGCAATTTCTTACATACTGAAGAAAAGCATTTATGAACTCTTATTATGACTCTGGCCATATGCTTCTGTTTTTTTTCAATTGTACTTTAAGTTCTCGGGTACATGTGCAGAATCTTGCAGGATTGCTGCATAGGTGCACACATGCCATGGAAGTTTGCTTCTCCATCCCCCCATCACCTTCATCAGGCATTCCTCCCAGGAGCTGGGTTTTTTTTTTTTAAAGATCAACAGAACAGACTGATAGCCAGACTAATAGAAAAGAGAGAAGAATCGAATAGATGCAATAAAAGACAATAAAGGTTATTAACATCACCGATTCCACAGATACGCAAACTACCATCAGAGATTACTACAAACAACTCAATGCACATAAACCAGTAAATCTGGAAGAAATCGATAAATTCCTGGACACTTGCACCCTCCCAAGACTAAACCTATTCAGGAAGAAGTTGAAACCCTGAATAGGCCAATAACAACGTCTGAAGTTGAGGCAGCAATTAATAGCCTACCTACCAAAAAAAGTCCAGGTCCAGACAGGTTCACAATCGAATTCTACCAGACATACAAAGAGGAGCTGGTACCATTCCTTCTGAAACTATTCCAAACAAAAGAGGGAATCCTCCCTAACTCGTTTTATGACACCAACATCATCCTGATACCAAAACCTGGCAGAGACACAACTGAAAAAGAAAACTTCAGGACAATAACCATGATAAACATCGATGCAAAAATCTTCAATATAACACTGGCAAACCAAATGCAATAGCACATCAAAATGCTATTTGTTTAATACATAATGTTCTCCTGGTTATTTTTTAAAGTTTCTAATTTTAGTTTCAATTTTCTGTTTAATCCAGTTATACATAACAATTTTCAAAACTATAGTATTTTTAAAAGATAATTTTTAAGAGAAGTTTTAGATTTGCAACAAAATTGAACAAAAGGCACAGAGAGTCCCCATGTACCCCATCCCCATAAACACACACACGGCCTCCCCAGCTGTCAACATCCCACGCCACAGTGGTACCTTTTTTACAATCCATGAACCTGCACTGACACATCATTGTCACCCAAAGTCCATAGTTTACATTAGGGTTCACCCTTGGTGTGTTACATTCTCTGTGTTTCGACAACTGTATAATGACACGTATCCATCATGATAATTTTATGCAAAATAGTTTCACTACCCCAAAAATCCTGTGTGCTCCATCAATTCATCCTTCCTTCCCCCCAGAACCTCTGGCAACCAATGATCTTTCTACTGTCTCCACAGTTTTGCCCTTTCCAAAATGCCATAGAGCTGTACGTAGCTTTTTATTTCTGTTTGAATATGTGGAGATGGGGAGGAGACAGGATATCTTTTTGTTATCGTTCATTATTTTAAATGATGAAATAAACTTGCTCCTTTATATTTACCATATCCCTCAAACACAGCACATTATGGAAGCCAGCATTATCATCATTTTCATAGAATTTACTGTACTTATTTCTAGTAATCCTATAAATAATTAATCTGAAAATTAACGCCAGCTCTTCTGGGAACTCCCAGAATGATAATGCATAACTGATTATTTGCTAATCCAGAATGACTTGGAGATATACAGGCCCCAGAAATAAAGTCCCTGGGAGTCTCGACCTTTGCCTACAAGTGAAGGACTCTGGGAATGCCTCTCTCATCATCCATGTGGCTATAATTCCAAGCATTGAAGGGACACATTCTCTTACATATAAATACACATACTGCCTTAGTAGAGTGATTTAAATAAAAGATAAATCAACATTCAAATAAACTAAACTCTTCCTGTGGCTGCTTGAGTTTTCTTTTACAGGTTAGTGTGTTTTGTGAGATGCTTTGCTAAGACCTGGCATTATTTTGCAAAGACAAAAGTTTATTACCTGCAGTAAGCAGATCGTAATGACTGTGACATAGGTTTCAGAGGAATACCATTTTCATCTAAGCTCCATGATAGAGAATAGCTAAGTTTTCCTGATGTCAAAAGACAGAGTTCTTCAGTTCCATTTCCCTCAAGAAGAAAAGGCACATCTGTTTACAAAAGGCATTAAAAACATATGAATTATTTTAAGTGCAGTGGGAGCACATTGTGGGTTTTTTTTCCTGACTTTTACTTGTAGAACTCTAAGAACACAAAGGAAGATCTGTGCTAACCCCACTGTTATCTGAATGCTCTCCCTCATCTCTTTACGATACTTCAAGGACTACAAAACAAAAGGTAAAGATTGAGATGAATATGTAGAGGTGAATATCACGCTTTTCCTCCTTTTATGTCTGGAGGTTTCTTAACCATTCTGTGTGGGCCTGGCTTCCAGCAAGAAAGGACCATTGGCAGTAGAATAAGAGGCCAGCAAGCTGTTTTCTCCTCTTTCCCTGCATTCCCGAGTCTTCTGCATCTCTTCTTTTTCCTTTCTTAATCTCCAAAGAGTCCAACACTTGTTAAAAACTTTTGCTGAGTGCCCAGTGTTCCCTAAATTTTTCAAGTCCTGAATCTTTTCTCCTGTGTCTCCATAAGCCTATTTTTCTGCTTTATCTGGACTCGAAGCAAATTCCATTCTTTCCTCATTCTCTTCCCTTTTTCTTCTCTCTTCCCTTTGCTCACTTGTTCATACTTCCTTACCTTTCTCCAAAGGGGCCCAAGTAGTTGCAAACCCCCTAGGAAGATGAAAGAAAGGAATCATGGGGAGAAGGAGAGGAACAACAGTGCTCTCAGAGACACACTAACTTACACTTAACCGTATAAAAGGAGCAAAATCAATTGAAAAACAAAGAAAAGAAACATCCCTTCTTTCTTCTCTCCTTTTCTCTGTCCCTCCGTCTTTCCTTCCCTCCCTCATTTTCTTCTACCTTTTCCTACACAGTTCAAAGACAAATCCATATGTCTGCAAGCACCTGTAGGTTCACTAAAGGAGAGGTAGAGGCAAAGCAGCCAGCCCACTCAGAAGCAGAGCTCGCTTTCCAGAGAGCATTCTGTCCTTGCCTTGGACGGCCTACAAAAAGCACGCGTGCTAACTGCTCATTTGAAATTTCCCGAAAATCTGACCCAACAAGCTTTAAACAATCTAGTTTAACATCTGAATTAATAATTTAATTCATTTTTAACAGAATACTGTAAATACAGGGCCAGGCACAGTGGCTCACACCTATAATCCCAGCACTTTGGGAGGCCGATGTGGGCAGATCACCTGAGGTCAGGAGTTCGAGACCAGCCTGGCTAAAATGGTGAAACCCCATCTCTACTAAAAATTAGCCAGGCATGGTGGTGGGCATCTGAGGCATGAGAATCGCTTGAACCTGGGAAGTGGAAGTTACAGTGAACTGAGATCAAGCCACTACACTCCATCCTGGGTGAGACTCTGTCTCAAAAAAAAAAAAAAAAAAAAAAAAAGCTGTAAATATAGGATTTTGTACTTATGTGAATGACCCAGGGTCATTTAGGAATATGGTACTCAGGAAGAAAATAGGGAGAATGTAATATTTTTAATAAACTCACTGCTTCCTACTTCTCCATCGGCAGGCATGACCAGCTTATCAGAGCTAAACTCTACATATTCCAAAATGTTTTTACCTTTCACCTCTGTGTAGTTAGGTAAAGGTAAATATAGTTTGGCCAGTAAGCTTGTCCTTTTACTTTTTTCATAAACCTAAATATAAAAGAAATGGTTGATAGCTCACTTAAAATACAACATAGAAAAAAGGAAAAAAGAAGCACCCTTAACAACATATTTTTATTCATTTTTTTAATACCAGACTATAAAATAAATACTGCTCTATAGTATTTCCTCCACATGATTATTAGAAAAGTAGCCAGTCATGTCCTTGACAGTGTAATGCCTTTTACTGGCTTCATAGAAAATGAATTGAATACAAGGGATTATGAATACAGTTGTGAGAATACATATCTGAGGTACACATAACATATACCATAGTAACTTAATTTTGTGTAGCACTTAAACAATTCTTTATCTCATGTAAATCTGATAGTAATTATAGGAAATAAATTTTATTTTCATTTTATAAATAAGGAAATGGAAGCTCTATATGAAAATATGTTTGTTTTTATTATAAGTGATTGAGACCCAGTTTAATTGCTTAGGAAAAAGGTAGAGTCATTGGTTCATGAAATCCAAGGATGAGTTAAACAAGCCATGGGAGCCAGAGAGGGAGGAAAAGTTCCAGAAGAAAGGAAAACGGGGTGCTGAGTAGACAATCCCTTAGAGGTTCACTGAGTGCTAAACCCAGGTCTTCTGATTCTGTAGGATGTGCTCTTTACTACAATTCCATGTAAGTTCACTGCCATAACTGTAAGTCAAACTTTTTTTTTTTTTCTTCAGACAAAGTCTTGCTCTATCACCCAGGCTGGAGTGCAGTAGCTTAATCATAGCTTACTGCAACCTTCGCCTCCTGGATTCAAGCAGTTCCCCTGACTTGGCCTCCTGAGTATCTGGGACTACAGGCACCTGCCACCATGCCCGGCTAATTTTTGTATTTTTAGTAGAGATGGGGTTTCATCATTTTGGCCAGGCTGAACTCGAACTCCTGACCTCAGGTGATCCACCTGCCTTGGCCTCCCAAAGTGCTGGGGTTACAGGCATGAGCCACCACACTCAGTCTAAGCAAACTTTTTTCAATTAAAAAAAAAACTCATTTTGACCTATACTGTGTTGCCAGTGCACGGGAAAACAGTGATTGAGCTCTAAGAAGGAAATCAGAAGGGAAAATTTCTCCTTGAAAGATAAGAAAGAATATGCCAATCAAAGTGATGACTTATTAGCCAAGAAATTAAAGAAAAAGAAAAGTCAAAGAGGCACCTATTTTTTCTGGTTATCTAAATACTTCCTTGCAAGAGAGAATTTAAGACACCACACTGGTACCTTTGATGAAGGCATCCCTACTGCAGAAAGGTTTGTAGGAGTCGTAGCTCTGTGAAATAAGTTTCTTATTGTAAATCAGTAAATTGGCTAACTTTCAGAGAAAATAAACTGATAAATATATTCAAATGTTGAGTTGGCATTTACACTTCAGCCTTGCGAATTTGGTTAGGGTGTGTAGGATGCATTCTCAGTGGACTGTCAAATCCAGGTTCCTGGACTTCCAGCCTCTGGACAGCACAGTAAGTGTACTAAGATAGAGAACTGTTAACAGTTGAGGGATCTCAGGAGCCAGTCTTGTCCCCTGATGACAACTGTCAACACCATGGTGCAGATGAGATTGAGCATCTTAAAAGTGTTAAGAGTGAAAATTGGTGTTTTAAATGGAGCAACTAACACATGCAAAAGCTCAGAGGTAGGAAATTACAAGGACGTATGGCAAAAGACAAGCAGCTCAGTTTGGCTGTAGCGATGAATGAATCAAGAAGAGTAGTAAGAAATGAATTAAAGGCAGGTCATGATGGTTCATGCCTGTAATCCCAGCACTTTGGGATGCCAAGGTGGGCAGAACCACTTGAGGTCAGGAGTTCAAGACCAGCCTGGCCAACATGGTGAAACCCTGTCTCTACTAAAAATACAAAAATTAGCTGGGTGTGGTGGCAGGTGTCTGTTTCCTAGCTACTTGAGAGGCTGAGGAAGGAGAATTGCTTGAACCTGGGAGCTAGAGGCTGCAGTGGCGCCGGGACCATGCCACTGCACTCCAGCCTGGGCAACAGAGCAAGACTCTGTCTCAAAAAAGAAAAGAAAGAAATGAATTAAACTGTCTGTTAGGCCAGGGCATATCAATTTATTTTGCAATTTTTGCACTTGCTAACAGTGAATTCACTTCTAACTAGATTCATCTCCCTCCCTGCCTCTTAGTTTGTTAGGCTCATACACTAAGTGATAGAATAATAAAGGAATCAAAATACAGTATTTGGGGAGGCAGATTTTAAACTTCGAGAGATTGGATTATTATATCACCATGTACTTTAGGTACAACAGTAGGAAAGTACAGGCCTCTTTTTTTTTTTTTGTATTAGGAATTCAGTGTAGAAAGTTGGCATATTTTTAATGCAGGAATTTCAATAGAGGGACACTGTAAGATGGTGGAAACTTGAATACATGAATAATGAAGAGAACATCTATCAGGGAGAGAACAAAATTATTCTAGACATTATAAAATATTTTGATTTATATGTGTAGCTATAATTCTCTCCCTACTCCTTAAGTACCCCCACTTCCTACACACAAATCTTTATTCCCTCCTAACTTTTTATTCAGATCTAGCTTCAAGTTTAACCTTGATTTTAGCCACCAGGACTTCTTGTCTAGATTCCTACACTGTCTCTCATTTTTCTTCATCATCCTATTTTCTTCTTCCATTAGTGTGGGGGTTCTTACAGTGGGATCTTTGGACAGAGACTGGGGGTCTCTTGTGTGTATGTTCTTTCATCTGATTCTGAGAGGGATCTAACTTCCAAAAAAGAGGAAAAACAAATACAGCAAGAGACTGAATCCACCAAGTCAGGGGTGTGGAAGTTTGTATGATAGAGATCATTCAACACTTAAAATAGCTATGCTACTCATTATACTTTAAACAGAACTTTTCTACCTCATTGCAAATGAATAGCAGTAGTGCACATCCAGGAATGCAGAAATTTTAGCATGAGAGGAGTATTTGGAACATTACAAATCAAATAACTTTGTACTTACAGCAAAAAAGACTATTGGTGAATTATACATTTATAAATATCTTATCATCTATCCATAAAGATTAGTCCATCTCTTAACATCAAATAAATTACTTATCACATATAATCATAGCTAACAAAAAATTTTAAATTATGTATGGCATAAAATAAGATACAAAAGTAAATGAAAATGGCATACCTCCAAGCAAATCACTTCAGGCCAATATATTAACTGAATATTGAAAATTTGCTGAAACGTGACTTTAAAATCAAACTGTAGGGGAGATACCGAAGTACAAGAAACCTGTTTA